ACTAATACGCATATAGTGCTTTGAATAGTTTAAACCTAGTTGGCTATTTAATTCTATTGCAATTAGTCAAAAATATGTAAATTTTTTAAAGTAATTATAAGCTTATTTAGTTTTTCTTAAAGCATTTTTAAATTAAACAGAATTAAAAAAGACAAACATAAAACATTTATACGTAACTAAATATTTGCTTATTGGTGTAGCTTTGGTGCTTATTATCTAATAGAATTAAGTAACTCTGTAGACAATCTTAAAATGGTATTAACTTTACTAATCTTTTAATTTATTTGTTTCTTAAAATACATATAAGCTCCTTTTTGGAATTGTACTAAAATATATATAATTTGACATTTTTTTAGCAATGAATAACTATTGATCTACTAGCCTGTTTTAAATAAAACAACTACTAAAATGATCATCTTGATGAGAGAATTCTAATGAATTCAAAATCATCAAAATCCAATCATTAGATTACAAGATAATTGAAGTTTTTTGCAGTTTGATGCACCTATAGGGTGGGACAATTGGTTAGCCTATAGTCTAACCAATTGTCTCACCCTATAGGTGTGTCATACTGCAAAAAACTTCAATTATCTTGTAATCTAGTGATTGGATTTTGATGATTTTGAATTCATTAGAATCTTCTCATCAAAATGATCATTTTGGTAGTTGTTTTATTTAAAACAGGCTAGTAAATCAATAGTTATTCACTGCTAAAAAAATATCAAATTATATATATTTTAGTACAATTCCAAAAAGAAGCTCATATGATTAAATAAATTAATATTATTTGCATTTGTAGGTTTTAATTACTATTTTAGCCAAATTAATAAAAACTATTCAGAGTACTACTAATTGTTTTTTTTTTAAAAAATAAATTAAATCTTAGACAAGCTATTGATTATGTTTCAGATGCATAGAGTGCAGTTAGTGATAATATAATTATCAATTGTTGGAAAAAAACAGGAATTCTTCCTGTTGTTAAAGATAAAGAAATTATTAATGCTACTGAATTTTAAGATAAAGCAAATTTACTTGAACATAATGATCTTGATACACTTCTGAATAGATTTTTTAAAGAGGATGATTATTCTACTACTCTTACTTCTATGATAGTTGATTTTTTTAATAATGTTGACCAAATTATTACTATAGAAGAAGCATTAACAGATCAACAAATAATTACTATTATCTAAAATAAAGATATTTATTATATTTTGCTAGTTAAATTTTATTATATATTATAAATAAATATTAGTATATATTTAAATATAAAAATTAATTTATAAAAAGGTCATATGATCTAAAATTTAACCAATCAAATTATTTTACTATAAATAAATAAATTTTAAAAAATTTTATTTATAATCACATCTCAGAATATATTAGCAATTAGAAACAACAACAACAATCACACGTGTGATTAATAACAACACCAACAAACAAATACTGCAGACATGCTCTATAACAACAAACAAAAGTAAATCAATTTAGAAAACACACTAAAATAAACAACTAGAAGTAGATTGTTCTAGAAGTATATCATAGTAAACATAGAATCTATATCAACAAAATACAATTTAACTTTGGAAAGTAGTATAAAATTAAGTATTGATTTAGAAATATTGAAGATAAAGCTTTTAGACTTTATTTAGAGCAGAAATGTGATCATAGCTAAGTATATGCTCGACAAGTCACTTGAAGAGACAGTTAAAGAAGTTATACTCAGGTATCCTAGTAACATCGAACATATAGCAAAGACAGTAACAATAGAAGATGAAAGCAAAATTATATCAATAGAAGTTTTGGCATATAGACATGTTCTTGAGGCCTTATTAAATGCTGAAGCTAGAGGTTGCCTAGAAAATGAAATCAAAAAATAGACAGAAAGCATTTTGCAAGATATATTGGAGATATTCAAGCCTAAAATACAACAGAAGAAAACAGCACAAGATGATGAAATCCAACTCACAGAAACAGGTGATTCAATTGAACAAAGCATCTGGTCACCAAGCAACAGAGTATATAAAGAAGACAAGTCATACTGAGCAAAAGCTCCTGCTTTTAAGGTACCAGGTGATTCGCCTAAAGAAAGAACCATAAATATAGAAGGAATGCTGAATAAAGACAAACACATAAAGTCAGTATAGAAAGTTTTCGTAAATAAA